GTTATGTTATACCCTCTCTAGTATAAAGTCAGTGTCTGCAACAAGGTTGCAACCTGGTTTGCTGTTTCGGATTCTCCCTGAATTCAGAGTTTTGAGTCCTGGGTTGCTGTCTTGTTAGTGGCATGCCTACTCACCAACAACCTTACCCCCAATTTAAATAACAAGTTCAGTTGGTCAAATAAAAATTAAAGAGATGGAAAATTTATGAAAATGATTAATTTATATATAACATACCAAATAAAAACCAATCCATTTTATTTTACAGCTTTCCTCCTAACAACAGAGCCCAAATGCAATTTCAAGGCCACCAACCCCATTCTGAATTGTAACCTCTTGCACTTGAAACGAGTTGCAGATTCTTGTTGCTGGATGTTTATGTGCACCTAATATCATAACTTTTCAGAGTTGCAACTTGGTTGCAGAGCCATCCTTACCCTAGAGGTGAATCATTGCAGGCAACTTTTCGGCTAACATGCCAGCAAGCCTTCTCTGGTCTGGGAAGATTAGTGGAAGTGTCCTTGACGATTGATGCAGTCTCGGTAAACTCCAGGGCCAGGTTACCCTCCCCTGGAATTTGGTTGCATCATCATATCATCGAGGGGATCTCGGTCAGATTAGCCTTATGTACACGAGGAAGATGTGAGAATGACTGTAAAGTGTTCATGGTAACATGCGTGCCTCAACATCTGTAAATTTCCGATAATCAAACATCGCATATTGAAATGTTTCATATTTGACGATGTGCTTGCTGCCTTGACATCTTCTGTAATTATATATTTATGTTAATATTAATATTACTGATTACAAAAAGCAAAATACCAATCGTTTGCTATCTTGACAAGAATCTTATTACCCAGCAAGTTCTGCTCCATGTTTTGATTCCAATTAAAGTATTTATAAACATATCAATGCAAATAAAAAAAAGTACCTCTAGTTAGTTATTAACGCGTCTTCTTTAGGAGAACCAAACAACAACACGCACGTTTTGGTTTTATTATTTGTTATATTGCTAATATGAAAGAATACTAAAATAATCTTTTACATTTAAAATCAAAGATTTTAAACTAAAAATGACTTCTCACAAGAAATCTTAATATTAATGAAATTACAATTTAAAAAAATAAAAATTTATTCAATTTTGCAAATAATATATTTAATTATATCAATAGAATTTCCAAATTATAAAAATTCACTCATTTTTTCCAACTCAATGAATAATTTTGATGAATAATAATCTAAATTGATTGACTGTTGATGCCACCACTTGATGTCCTCCTTTTTTTTATTTATTGAAAAGTAGATTTCTTCAGGCTTGTAATTTTTATTATCAATTTTGACTCTGGTTTTTGCTCCATTTCCATCCCATGTGAACCAAATCCATCCAGGAATTACTTGAATGATCATATTTATATGATCTTTTAAATAATCTTCTATTTTAAAAATTAATTAGTGAATAATTAAACCATTTTTTATTAAAAATATAGAAATATACAAAACTGTCATACCAGACATTTCAAAGTTTTCAACTATTTCTTCTAACGTAACATTATTTTCATTATATCTGGTGAGTTACATAATAAAATTTGATTAAAGCTTAAACATATGTATAAAGATTTCTTTGTGACCATTAATGTTAAAAAAGGATACAATAGTAATGAATCAATTAACTTGTCATTTATATAATTGATCATTCTTAATTTTCTTTCAAACGTTCCAATTATTTTTGTTAATCTAAAAAACATATTAA